ATAAATGATGATGAAATAAATATAAGATCTTAAAGAAGTGCTTATGAAATTTGTGAATTTTACTTAATATTTCCCTTAGCCTCGCCAAGACTTGATCGATTTTCGTCAAATTATTGTACGTATAATTTTTAAAGAAATTCCGAGGAGACTGTCGACAATTTTGTCGATAACTTTTTGTTTTGGAACTTCGAACAAAATTAAATGTTAACTTTAATCTATATTCGATTTCCATGGAAGATTTCAAAAAAGAAAATTCTCCGAAAATTAAAATTTAAAATTTATGCTATCAGTGTCCCCGATAGATACACCTACAAAATTTAGAAATCCTCTTTACAATCCCTTAAAACGGTTTATTTAGAAGTTGTTAAGTAGGCAGCTTTAACAAGTTTTGCACTGCGGCCTCATAAAGGCTTTATAGATGAAACCGTTAGAATTCGTTAGAATTCTCTACAATTAGGCCTATATTTTTCTTAATACACCAAAAAGCATAACGAACTTGAAAAGTTAACGTAAACCCTGTGGGTGTAAAATCCCGAATTCCCGAACTCTTCGAATTGGGTCAGAATAGGCATAAAAATGGAGACAAAAGTTTATATATTATAAATATTCTATAATCACAACAACTATGTTTCTTACATTTTAGTATTCTTACTCATACTAACAATCAATTGATATGATTTTATTATTAAATTAGAATAATTATTTATTTGTGGTCAGAGATAAAATAACGCAGCTTGTCGAATGCCCATGGATGTGAGAGCTATATTTCTTTATAATCCCCATCCAAAACACGACTTTAAAAACTTTGTAGCTTCCAGGCTATCAGTTTATGGTCATTTACTACACGATTTGGGCTAGGCAGTGAGATTTCCCTAATGTTCATGTCAATTGGCTTTGCTAAATACTAAGGAGAAAATTGTACACCCTATTCAGTCCTTGCGACCACATAGGGGTGTTAAATTGGAACAATCACGTTGATAAGTAAAAATTCTGTCAAATTATCTGTTCAAAAAAATAACTAACATTGTATGCAGGCTCTAAAATCCTTTCCCTTAATGAAGAGATTTCGCGTATAGTTACGGCTTGTCGCCCACATTCCACATGGAATGTATAGATTTTTCTCTGTTCAATCTCATCAAGCCAATAAAATTAGATTTAGATATCGATGACACTGTTCAATGTTGATGGTGATTACTATTAATTCATCATAATCAACCAAGATAATCCGCCACTTCAGTTGCTTATTGTCTCTATATCATTGCTTATTGTCACCCTATTATTTACAGCCACTCCTAATCTTAATTAATTGTTGCTATTGTTATATTTTTTGTGTATATATATAACTTCTTGTACCATATTTCCTCACTTCACCTGAAGATGACAAGGTAGATTGTTGAAACGAAAAAAAAAAAAAAAAAGAAACGTAGTGTGTCATAAAACTAAGGAGTAGTATACCATGAAATTGTGTTCCGTTATCTGTACCCCTAAATGTCGCTAAAGGATTATTATTTCGTTAAATTAAGTTAAAGAAAAACTTTTCTCTTCTAGATTTCGGTGTATAGCTTTCTTAAATTTGGGAGAAAAAAATTTCAAGCCACGAAAAACCCACCAATTGATTCAATAATTAGTTAATTAGAAAAGAAAAAAATGATTCTTCTATCAATCAACATATTCTGTCATAATATCTATGCATGCATGTGGCAAAAAATCGTCGTTTACTTGAGATTAAATTTCAAGACTCTTCACTGAGTGGGTAGATGAGGCCAACGTTTAATGATACAAAAAATATTAATTCATTGTTGATCCCTTATGCATCGGAAATATGAGCTCCTCCATTAATTCAGAATTAGCTAAATTAGAAGAGAATTACCAGCAGAATTCCAATGAGTGACCAATCAAAAAAGGTCAAAAAGACTTTTTTTGTTTATCCAGACTGTACATACATGGACATTTATGAGTCGTTAAAACTTAAATCATATGCAATATAAGAAAATAATGATATGATAAAGAATACATGCTAATTCATTAGAAACACCAATTAATCAAATAGTTTATTTGATTTGACACTAAAAGATAGATTGCCAGGCAAGGTAATAGCTAAATTTGAAAACGTTTTCAAGAACAAGGGCAGTAACTCATACCAAATATTTTTCAATTCTTCTGAAGATTCACACCAAGTTTCATCAAAATCCGTCAAGAATTGTGCCTTCTAGAGTGTTTACGAGCTAAAAATTGAACGCGTTTTCAAGAGCAAAGGCTATAATTTATACTTAATATTTTTGATTTTTCTGATTTTCAATATGGTTTATCCTTGGGTGATAATAAATACTCATGCCAAGTTTCGTCAAAATCCGTCAAGAATTGTCCCTTCAACAGTGTTTTCAGGCTAAAAATTGAACGCGTTTTCAAGAGCAAAGGCAATAATTTATACTTAATATTTTTGATTTTTCTGATTTTCAATATGGTTTATACTTGGGTGATAATAAATACTCATGCCAAGTTTCGTCAAAATCCGTCAAGAATTGTCCCTTCAACAGTGTTTACAAGCTAAAAATTCAGCGCGTTTTCAAGAGCAAAGGCAATAATTTATACTTAATATTTTTGATTTTTCTGATTTTCAATATGGTTTATCCTTGGGTGATAATAAATACTCATGCCAAGTTTCGTCAAAATCCGTCAAGAATTGTCCCTTCAACAGTGTTTACAAGCTAAAAATTGAACGCGTTTTCAAGAGCAAAGGCAATAATTTATACTTAATATTTTTGATTTTTCTGATTTTCAATATGGTTTATCCTTGGGTGATAATAAATACTCATGCCAAGTTTCGTCAAAATCCGTCAAGAATTGTCCCTTCAAGAGTGTTTACAAGCTAAAATTTGAACGCGATTTCAAGAACATTGTGCGATAACTTATTCTAAATATTTTTCGATTCTTCTGATTTTCAATAGGGTTCATCCTTGGGTGATAACAAACACTACTACAAAGTTTTGTCAAAATCGGTCAAGAATTGTGTCTTGTAGAGTGTTTACGAGCAATTGTGGACGGACGGACGTGGGCGTATAAAAATAAGAAAACCCATATTTAAGGAGAGCCAATTTAAAATTTAACTTCCTGCTAATTTAAAAATAGATTGTTGAGACAATTCCGGATTTCTTGGGCTATATATTGAAATCCTCTCGACAGTCAATTATTATAAATCTTAAACTTGTTACAGTGAAAAGATCAACAAAAAATCCTCCTTGTAGTAGAAGTCATTAGAAAATTCGATTCACTTTGAAGAAATATAGATTACGGGTGTTTTATGAATTATATTCATAATCATGATGGTTTTAATGAAAGTCTTCATCTGTGCTTTGTTGGTGAACATGGTATACTCATTTACTTTAATTAAGAATATTGAACACATACTTGAACGCGAAAGAAGATCTGATGAATGTGCAGTACCTAATAATATAGATGAGTTATTTACTAATTTGAATTCTCATGTGAACCGTGTTGAGTTCCTCATTGCAGTAAATGCTACACATCAACCGAATGCACAGGGATTCATTCCACCTGCATTTGGAGATCAGACAGATACTGAATGTCCAAAGGAATATACCGGAAAAGATACCAGTAATAGTGAAATATGGCAAAGATCAACGTGTCCATGGTTCTACAGTGAAAGGAATTACGGAGCTGAGTATTACCCAAGTAAAGTTTTTAACGCTGCTTGTAAATGTGTTGATTGCTTGTATTCTAAGAATAATTTCGAGACTGGGTGTTCCAGAATCTACAAGAATATCAACATTTTAAAGAAAACAGGCTGTAGTAATGGCTTTTATACATACGAACAAAGATCTATAAGTGTAAGTGTTGGATGCACATGTGCTAAGTTACAAGCTAATATTGGATAAATTTATTCATATTAGATTGCTAACGTTACCAACAAGTTGTTTTAGTGTGTCTCATACACGGCACGATTTTAGTAGGTCTGTTTTAAGACCAAATTTATGTAATTATTTCATAATTAATGCATGCACATATTTATTAATTCATTGCATGATAATTTATTTTAATTTATCAATTAATTATATTATTTATTACTTCATCACAAAATGCTCATAATAACTTACGCTTTTTTTTTACACTAAAAGTATTATTTTATATAATTTATTGCATTAAATATTTAAACTCTGTTCATTGTATATAAATTCATATTATTTATTATTATTTGATAGCATTCAATGCATTTATTTGTCTAATATTTATGAATGAATGATATTTATTGGTATGTTTGGTAGTATACAAGGTGAACAATCATTTTAGCTTAGGAAATGTGTGTTATGAATATTGTACGATGGATTATTCGGATTCTTATACGAATAAAATATACCTTCTACAAGGTGGAATGTATTTCTATGTTATCAACTATCGTAATTATAGATGAAATAATTGCTCAAAGATAATGTAGAATTTAGAAATCCTAATGAATTGTACTTATTTTACTATTGTTTAAACTGAATTAATGTGATTTATATAAATGAAATATATATATAATTGTAAAATGCTTTAACTGTTTGTTACTATACTGATCTCAATTGCAATTAATTTTAAAATAAAATATAGATTAATATACTTTCTTTTCTTTTTTCGGATCGATTTTATAATACACTGTAATCTTCACTGGAGGGGTGGAGGAGGTGGTAACTATTTGTGATAAGCATTGTGCAAGATACATTTCATTATCCA